CAGCAGGAAGAAATAAAGCTGCAGTTCAAAATGTCTCCATTCACTTCTTTTCACGCCTCTAGAATGAGTTAATCTATTTCCACTTTAAAAATACAGAAGAGAAAAAAAAAAGAGAAAAAAAAAACCAAACATGCTCTACAAGTTGAGCATTATGAGGCACCTGCAAACTGTTCTGCAGTGTTGCCTGAAGAAGAAAAGGAAGCAAGTCATAGGTGGCTGGGAGAGTAAAATTTATGCCTGAAAATACTTCTTTGCCATGGCAGAGAGATGGTGTTGAAATTTGCTGTGGGGTCCTTTGATAATTAGGTACAACTGACAACTCTGCAGGCAGGCTTAAAGACTCTAATCTTTTCTTTAATGGCCCTGGTTCAATTTACATGACATTTTTATTACCACTGTGAAAAACCCACCTGGCAAGCAAAGTCTCTTTCTGCTTTCCCCCCTATGCGTGTCTAACATTTGGGATCTTAATTCAAGGGAAGGCAAGGAGGCAGGTTAGAGATGAGGTCATTGCCTCCAAGTCCTTCAATGCTGATTAGTTACCTTTTATTATGTGGCTTTGTAACAAGGTCTAATAAGCAATGAGAACCCCAGAGCTACACGTGTATTACTCATGGTGAAGTCTGCTTACCAAAAAAACAGTTCTGTGGGTTTGATTTTAACAGTCACGTGCTCAAGTCACATGCATCCTTATTTCAGTGCTTTCACAAAAGCACACTAATTGACCAGTAACTACGCTAGAGGATGCAAACAAGGGATGGATGTTTTGTACTCCCACACTCCATCAATCTGCAAACCTGAATTCTCATCATATACAGCAAATCCTGCGACACAATGAATGGGTATAGTCCAGGGTAGGGACAGCACCAAAAATTCAGAGTGCTACTAAATTTGTGAACTAATTTAAGATAGGGGCTGCAGAGTTAAAATGTTAGATATTTGCCACAGGAACAACCCATGGAGTATCTTGGTCTGGTTGTAACAGTTCCCAGTGACTTGTAGTTTCTCAACCTTAACAGAAACGTGCTGATAATACCATATAGAAGCAAACTGATGGAAAAAGCATCGAGCCAGCAAGTTCACCATGGCTCATCAAATTTGAAACATACATGACATTTTTTGAAATATATCATAAATATGACTGGGTGGAAGATGTGGGCTGGCTCAGGGCACTGCAGAACAGTTAGTGCTGCTTAGTTTCCCTGAAGCAGCATACCTGTAATGGGACACATAAACAAGAGCTGTTACTGTGAAAAAATCATTTGCAAAAAGTCACTACTGCAGTTGCCATAGCTACTTCGAAATGAAAAAAAGGGACGGACCGTGGCACTGCTGGTAATGGTGCAGTAGGTTTTGGTAAATGCTATGTTTTTAATGCTGGCTGTGATGCACAGGAGATCAGGTACGCGATAAGTAGCTTTGTTGAAGAGAAGATGCACAGAATATGGATGGGTCTGTAAACTGAGTCAAAGCATTTTAACGGAGTGAGAAAAGGGAGCTGTCACAAAATTAATTTGAAACATGAATGTGTAATGAGATGGCACAATGAGGGACAAATACAGCTTTTTCAAACTCAATTTCACTAACAAATGCACATAAAGGAAAAGTTTTGAACTGTGCTAGAGCTGGAGAGCTCTTTAAATACAAACATCAAACTGTCCTGATGCAGAGGAAGAACATGACAAAAATCACTCTGTTCATATATATACACCAGAGAGGACACAATGTCATTAAATGCTGAATACTTGCAATGGCAGAAGTTTCCAATAATTGTATTTTGTGGTCAGAAGTCCAAAAGAGGATAGTACACTTAAAACCACTCTATCAATATATGATAAATTCCATCTGTATGCAATTAAAGTGCAATGTTAGGTCAGTTATTTTAGTATATCTAATAACTAGTGGTTAAATAGCTGAACTTCAAATTATTGATCAAGTAATAAAGCAAAGGAAACTCTCTCTCTGCCTGCTCTTCAAAATCATTTTTACAAGGAACAAAAACCTCGGAAATGAGACCAAAAAAATGTGCAATGGAAGGTGCAAAGACCTTGTCTTTCTTTATATCATTGTGTCTACAGGAGCTGGGACGACCTTGTCCGTAGTACAACCATAGCTCAGTCTTTGCTCAAAGAGCCATTAATGAGGTAATTATTAAGTAGGAAGACAAGAAGATGCTGTTAGGTGCAAATTCCAAGGAAATTCATGGGAATACAAGTTTTTGTTTTCTTTACAACTGGTACAGCAAATGATAACCAGCACCTGGGACAAGCCAAACAGAAGTTGGATATCGGACATCCTCACACAGTGACTTCCTTCTCTCCCTTAAGTGTTAGGCATGGAGGAACAAATGCTTCGAAAGCCCTGGTTAAGACATGCTGAGAGCTATATCACAAGAAGACAAAACATTCAGTAGAAGAAAAAAAGTATGGTGACTTTGACAGGAGACCATTCGTCTTTAAGATTAACACTGATGCTGAAACAAATGTCATCTTGCCAAGGACTGCCACAAGGGGCAGCTGCAGCGGACAGCATCATTTCCACGCAGGGCTAAAATCAACCCCCAGAACACTCAGACGCTTCAGCTACCATCAGGGGAATTTGATAACAGATTTTCAGGCACACAGATAGCTACTATGTCTTTAGAGTTTATTCGCTAGACGGGAGAGGGAGCAACTCACACTGCTCTGGTTCCAAGTCATTCATCACTCTTTAGACAGAAAACTATTTCCACTTCCAATTAAAAACCTGTTTAAAAAACACTCAGCAGGCTTTTGGGTTTTATTATGTTTTTAATAGTAAATACTCCAAAAGGTACCTCACTTCGCCTTCTCTAATGTGACCTTCTAATTCTTCTATGAATTTTTCTCCTTTCATCCAGTAGATCATGGGACCCGATTCTCCGCTGAATCCAAAGAAAGCTTTGCAAGGCACAGTCAGTGGGTTTCCTGAGGACAAGAAGAAAAGAGAGAGTTAGACTCTTCTTCATGGCTACTAGTGAGAGAATGATTATGAGAAATCAGATAAACCTCAGATAAACCTCCCTGTTTAGAATTGGAGAAAAAGAAGGAAAAAAAAAAGAAGGAATAACTATAAACTGTAGGAAAAAGGGTGATGTTGATTTGCATCTACAGGAAATAGCTGTGAAATGAAACTCTGAGGTTAACCATCATTTCATTTTTCCCAGAAAGACACTACAGGAACAATGAGAAGGTATAGAAATGGTGGCAACAAAGGTGATGTCAGATTGGTTGTTAAAAAGAAAGAGATGACTTCTTTCTCAGACTCCTAGGACCTCTACCAGGACGGGGGAGTGTGCCCTAAGAGGCAAGTAAAACACTGAACTCGCTTACTGCTGCCTATCCACCCATAAAAAGGACACAGTAATAATTTCTTCCTCACTTAGATAGAAATCAAATGTTAATGAAGTCTTAGTAAGCTGTTCAGAGAGCTTTTAAAGATCCCCAAGTAATACACGATGCCAGTGAGCACCACCAACACTCATGTTACTGTCAACAGGCTTTTGGCAAAGGACCAAACTTCAAAGCATTACTCAAGCAAGAGAGTAAAGAACTCTCCCTTTCAGCTCTGCAAAAATACTTCCAAAAGAAAGAAAATAAAACTTGGAAACTAATCAGACTTCTTTTCTCTCCAAGAATTCAGCATTTATATGGGTTTTTGTTTGGCTACAGCTTTAGCTGTACTAGCTAGTCCAGGACTGTGCTTACACTGCCAGGACAGATGGTTGTCTGCCTGCAGAAGACAAAAAAAAAAAAAAAACAACAAAAAGAACCCCAAACAAGCCAGGAAATCCAGGAGAGCTGCTGATCCCTCTTGTCTTTGCCTATTTTACCCAGCATAGGTGGTCCAGGTTACAAAGCAGCTGTAGAGTCACCAACTTGCATGGCAGTACAGACCTCATTTAATGTCAATGGAGACTTCTGCTGAATCTTCCAGGACTTGGATCAAGCATGGAAAGTCCAAATAATGCATTTTACTATATTTGGAATAAATGTTTTATTTTGCCAGCCATTCCCCGTGCCAGCAGGAGATTCTTTTGAGGCTGAAATAGAACAGGCCTACACTTTTCAAAGTAGTCATTTGGAGTACATCACTTGGTGAGCATAGGCTAATGCTTTCACGATTGACTTACTGTGCCTTAATCAGTTCCTTCTTGTCTGCTCAGCAGTGATAACTCGCTGTGTGCATACTCAGAGCATATCAGTGCTGTGTTAAAGTATCTTTGCCTAAACGCCCACAGAGCCATCCTAAGTCAACTACTTGCACTCGTCTATCCATTATTTCAGTGCCCAATTTAAGACATGTCAAAAGAGTGTGATTAGTCAGGAAGTGCAGCACTCCCAGACACTGAAAATCAGCCACCTTTAAATTGTTTCCAAGTCAAGATCCAAAATTACAAGTCCTTTTGAAACACTAGGATACAGCAAGAAAAGGTTTAAAGACTACACTTCAATCTCTGGTTCTCAAATAGTAAAAGACAAAAATGGAAAGTGTTTCTTCTGAAAATGTTTTACAAAATCTTTCATTATCTCCATATTCACCATGAACTGTGGTACCACAGCTGGCCACTGAACACATGCTGTTGCTGACAGATTACATACTACCAGCTCAAACATCCAAAATATAAGAAGGGGCGGATATTCAGTTATCTGTAGATCCCACAACATTGACCACCATCATAAGAAAGTTCCAAACTTCATTAACTAATGAAGAGTCAGAAACACTTCTAGGCAGACATTTAATTCTGCTACAAGACAATATCGGAGAAGCCTGTTTCCTTCTGCTCCCAGCTGGTTCACCCAGCCCTGCGAGGTGCTGCATGCCCTCCACGGGTGGAGGGGAGACTTGGAGCCTCTGGCTGCATCCATCTCACGTTCTCCGACCATGCTGAATGCCAGGTGTGACGTCTTTTGTGCCACTTGCCTCAGAGTCATGATACACATCTATTTAAATAGCACTTAGTGATTTCCTAGCATGTGGCTGCTCAGTCCGTGTTTGATTTTAATGGAAAAAGACAATTGTAGCAATGTGAAAAAGAAAAGGGCTAGACATGGCCTATCAGCATTGACAGTATATGCCCTTTTCCTGCACACCATGCTGGGCATTAAGTGTTACCCACAAAATACGTTACAGGGTGTGCTTTTCCTCAAACCATCCGATTTTTACTTAAAAAACAAACCCTGAAGAAATGAAAATATTCCAAGGTGAGTCTAAGATTTCTATACATGCAGAGTAAATATCCTGAGGTAATACGTCTGGTCTGAAGAAATAAGAAATTTTCTATACAAATAGGAAAACCTAAAAAAACCTAGCTGTTGGTACACAGCTTCTGCAATAAACAAACCCAACATCAGTAGCCTTTGCTGTGAAAGCCTGCATGCTCTGAACATGCCCAGGCAGATCTATTTGCCACCAGGGAAAACCAGCAGAATAAATTAATACTGTCAACAGTGAACTTTAGAGCGAATTAGTATTTTCAGCTGAAAGTCTGGGACTGGCCACACCTGAAAAAAACCATAGTCCATCTCATCTGCAAAACCATCACTGATCAGAGGGAGATATAAGCAACTGTTTCTCATGGAACAATTAATTTTTATCTCAGTAGCAGAACGATGCATGTCTGTGTTGAGCTGATCTGTCCTGGGGTAGAAAGAACTTGGGGCTTAATGACACTTCAAGGTCCCATTCAAACCCAAACTCTCATATGCTGTTCTTCTACTCCTCAAGCTGGTAAGGACATCTCACTCTGCTGTAGATCTCTAAAGCAGCGTCTGTTTTATAACCGTCCTCCTTTGTGACTCTGGAAGCAGGACAAAGTCAGAAAAGGTAACATTGGCTCTCCCTTGCAGAAACACTTTACCTCCTCAAATAAGCCTTCATAAGGAAAGGAAGGGAGGTTTCCCCTCTCCTGCTACATGAAGACACAGCTGGCCACAGCAGCAACCTGTTACTACTGGTTTTCAGGGAACTCCAACCAGTTCCCATACAGAAAAGAACACGGCATGTCTCATTTTCCCCCAGGTACAGAGATGTTAAAACTGCAGCTGAATCCCCTGGTTCCTAAATGTACCCTTGAATATGGGGAGAAACAGGCGCTGAGAATGGAAAGTGCCCTTTGCAGGCCCTGATTCTGGGGCTGGCTTCGAGCCACCTGGTATCACACTGAGTCAGTTCCATGCAGAAGGAACTAACAGGCAGTTTATAACTCCAACAACTCATCTTGTGTAAGGTCCAAACTTTTGCATATCATTACTGGTATTCTGCATGACACCAAGTAGTTCCACTAATAACTGTTCTTATTTAGAAAAATTCTCCTTGCATAATTTAATTAACAACATCAAAGTTCCTACCATGAATGGTATCCTAAAAGTTTTCCATTTATAAATGGTTTCTGTTAAAATCAGATAGACATTTCAGCTGCAATTTTAATTAATTGAATAATTTGCTGAGAAACAGAGAAAATGATTAGTGAGATTTCTAATGAATCAACACTCAAGAGAATGTTTTAAGAAACAAGGGAAGAAATTAGAAAAGTCTGCTTGCAGACATCACTGATTCTCCTGCTTTGCTGGGGTCACCTTGTTACAGTAAAGCCTCAGGTTCCAGCAGAAGTCTCTGCTTTAGCTTTTTTCCCGACTCTGTCAATCAGGCAGCCTTGTTGCAAACTCCCAGCTGATAAGACACAACCGCTGGCAATAGGAATTACTCTTATTGCTAAATCTTACCGTACATTTTTCACCTGACCATTTTCACAATAAATCTGCGTGAACTCTACCACACATTTTAGCTTTTTTTTTTCCTGAAAATCAGAATTCCACAGAAATGCAATTATTTAAGCAAAATAGCTGCCTGATGGTGGTAGGAGTACTGGCTAAGGATGGAAAAAGGGTGTGCGAAACAGTTTAGCCAGGCACGATTCTGAATGTGATTATTGTGGGTCCAACATGCTTTGAAAGAGAATGACAAATCCTGCAGCACAGTCTCTCTTGAATGAGATATGCTCCAAGCACGAAGTAAATGAAGACTAAAATACTTAAAAGTCATTCAGTCTTTTAAAAAACAGTATGGAAGACAAAAGCTGTTCACGGATCATGGGTCTGGCTTATGTTACAGCATTTTTTTCAGCGATTTTTTTAAAAAATACATATTTTTCACTTGTTTTGCACAAGTATGTATGTGTTGTGGCTTATTTGCCAACATCCATTCAAGGGTGCAACTTCACATTCTCTGATGCCCACATTCTGCTGGTGCTCTGTTCTTCCACCAAATCAGACTTTCACTCCTGGAGCAAATCATCCCAGACAACCCCATCAAACAGCCAAAGTCATCTGTGAATCCTTAGGTGCTTTCTCCCTATGGCTTGAAAGATTAGTGTTTTTCACATTTTTGTGTCACGTACAACACCACTGTCAACAAGCCTGAACTGAATGAGATGATCTTTCCAAGCTTGTGGCAGAAATGACTGAAAGTGCCAGAGCAAGACCTCCTTTTTTTTTTTTTTTTTTTTTTTTTTTAACAAGCAAGGTGAAAAGTCAATCCTGCACACTTTGCTAGCTGGATTTACATCTTCAGCTCCACCTGAGTGCTAATACCACTGCTTTTATCTCTTTCTGGGCTGGATGCTGTATACAAATAGAAGGGAAGACAAGTGCACTACTGCCACTGAAAAAATCACTCCAGCACTCCAAGTCTCTCTTATCGATGCATATGCATCACGTAGCTCCTCTCTGATAATGGTGCCTGTGTCTCT